ACATAAACATTGCTTAAAGTAAGGACCCTCATGGCTCCATGGTCTGAGACTTCAAGCCAAATGCTGAAGAACGGCAGGCTCCGGGAAGCTGTCCGCTTTGCAGACCGTAAGTCCTGCAGCTCTATTTTAATATACTGCCAAAAAGGAGCTGTGGCCCCATGCAGCACTCCCAGCCCGCTCAGTGGAAATGCGAGGCCCTGGATCTGTTTTTGGGAAGCTGCCTGCTCTTCTCCTGCCCTGCCCGGGTTTGGTGCAGCATCTAGCAAGGCTCTTTGGTGCTCAGTGGCTGCTGGGGCCCTGCCAGCACACGAGCGTTGCCTTCGGCTGAGGGCAGTTCTCCAACACGCACCAGGACTTCTCCTTTGGGGCCTCTGAGGCAGCGTCCAAAGACCCTCAGATGTCTCAGCAGGATTGTGAGGTCCATTCCCAAGGGATATCAGATGCTCGCATGGCCACCTGCCTTGTCCTTCTTTCCAGCAGATTCAGGCCAAGTGGATGGGACTATGGCAGAGCTTGGGAGGGAAACAATCCCACCTCCTCCTCTGGGATGAGCAGTGGGCAGGGGTTGGCTTTGGCCCTCGGAGGAACATGGCTGTGGGACACAGCAGCGTTGGGACAGGGTAAGCTCGGGAGCACCTCCACTGCCTCTGTGGAAATCCCACTAAAGGCCAAGCGGATGCTTCTGCGTTTTATCACAGTTGCAATGTATTTTTACCCAAACATCACTCATGCTGTTCTGTTGATGACTTGTTTTTTTTAATTTTCATCCAAACAACATATTTTCCCATGCAGTTCGTGCCAGCAACTAGAAGAATGGCTATTGGTATGAATTGTTTTGTGGGAGACATGCAAACAAATAGGGGAGCCATAAGGAGAGCAAATCGCTTTCAGAACAGAGTATGGGGGTGGACAGCAGGCGGGTGTACAATGAGAACATGTCATGTGCTCCACAAAGGTACATTGACCTTCAGCTGTTGTACTGAAATCACTAACGGAGATGGAAGTTGATTTGCAGAGGCTGGATAGCCTGATATTGCCTGTGTTTCAGCTTGTTTTAGGATGGTCTTATGCTGCCAAACCCCCTCACTTGGAAGGGGAGTGTTTGCCACAGATACGATGAGACACTAGTGATGTGCCAAACCTTTGGGTGGATCTCACCACCTCTGCTGTGCTTTTAAAAGCTCCCCAAAGCAGTGACGGAGATGTGAGCTAAATAGTCCTGGTGAATTTATCTCCTTTACCTTGGAAACGGGATAGGATAGGATAGAAGACGGTTGGGCAGACTTTGCTCAGAGAGGGCAGTTGCGTCACGTCGCAAAGCGTGTCTCACTTGGCCAACGCTGACAGGCGTAAGGAGGAACCAGTGACAAAGCGGTGGCGGTGGCCCCGCAGCCTGTGCTCAGCGCTGCCATCCCACGCATCCCACGCGGGTTCGCAGGGCAGAGCTGAAGCGCTGTGTGATTGAAGCCTCGCGCCGCCGCGTTCCCGTCCTCCTCCGAGCAATTAAAACTTCACGGGGCGACGCGAATGCTGCCCCCAGCACGTGAGCGTCTCGTCAGCCTCCAGCAGGACACGTGCGGCCGCCGCCGCCCGCGTGTGTCATGTGGTTGTGTACGGTGGCCTCTGCACATGGTAGCCAGCAGAGTGGGTGGTTTTCTTATCTCTGGCTCTAAAAACTCAGGTGGTTGTTGCCTATGGACGTTGCTGGGTGAGAAGACAAGGTGCAGGAGCCTATGGAGGGCAGTATCTGCTGTGCAGGTGTGGTGGATGTCTTCAGGTTCAGTAGGGACCTACTTCTCTGCTGATGCTGTGCCTCCTTGCTGTGTGTTGGGATCCTCTTCCTTCCTTCCTACATAGTTGGCAGTGGGCAAAGCTCCCTCCAATCCCTGACCCCAGGGATGATTCAGGTTGAGTCCCCATAGCCTGGCTTCGGCAGTGATGGTTTCCTTCCTGCTGTGCTGCCCAGGTCAAACTCCACCAGCCGAGGTCACCCGGGAAAGGGCTTTCCCCATGCTGCTCCCAAGCTGGGGCACGGACAGGCCAAGGAGGTGCCAATGCACAGGAGATAGGGAGCTGCCAGGCGCTCTGGGAACGCCGGGTTTTCTCTCTGTTTCCTGGAGGTTGAGTAAATATTTGTAACACTGCAAATAGCCGACAACTGCTGGGACTATCTCCCCACCAAGACAGTGCCCCCCCGCCCGGCTCTTGGCATTCGCCGCGCTGACAAACAGTCAAGCAGATGCCTCTGGATTGATGCGCTGAGCGCGGTGACCAGATGGGGTACGATCACAACGTCGCTGATTATTCCTGTCAGCCGAGCAAGGAACATGACGGAGCTGCGACCTCCCGACGCTGCAGAGCTAGCTGAAAACTCGCCCCCCTCCTCCTCCTCCCATCACACTCTTGTTCTGGCCTCCTTTCAGTAAATAAGCTTTAGCCAGGCAGTTCCGAAGATCCCTGCTCTACTTGTATACGTTATATATTGTGCAGCCCCGAGGTTCAAATAAATTGCCATCTGGTTGCAGGGAGGCCCTGCTACGCTAATCTCTTGTCCCCGTGCAGCTGCTGAAGGTGGTGAGAGAGTCGTGAGCGACTGCGATGCTGCCAAAGAGCGGCTGGACGCCTGTCCCGGGCGAAGGAGCGGAGCCCGGCAGCCTCAGGAGCACAGTTTGGGTGGCCTCCTCCCCACCCTGCTTCCAGGACAGGGTTTTGGCCATCGCACGCGCTGTGCTGGGGCGCTGGGCTCTGCCGCCAAGGGCACTCGCAGGGGCGAGCGGCTGAAGCGCAGCCGGCCCTGCAGCATCCCTCCAGGAGCGCCGCAGGATTGAGCTTGGCACGGCCTGTCAGGAATGACAGGAGATGGGGCAAGATGCTCTCCCGAGGCCTCTCCTGGGCCTCTCCTGCACTTGATTTCCCCTGTGGGGTCACCTGCAGGGTATCCAGCACCGCAGTACCCTGCAGTGCTGGCTGCAAATCCGCAGCCCCAGAGCTCTCCTGTTCTTGTGAGCTGTGGTGCTTGGGGACCCCGATGTTGAATAACGGAGGACACGATATATCTGGTCCCCCAGGGCATGTCCTGACACAGATGGGGAGCAGCCGCTCTTCTCCGGTGCAACCCCTCATCCAGAGTGTCCAGCTGGAAAAGCACATGGTGTCAGTCCAAAGCCAGGACTTGAGGACTTCGATGGGCCCATTTGTAACTAGCTCTGTTCCAAGCGGGTCCGGGTTCAGGCACGGCATCTCGCTTGCAGTGGGTGTCCCGGGAGGGCGACTGGGCCCGTTCCCTCCATAGGTGGAAGGCTTTTGGCGCTGGCAGCGCCTCTGGCCCCGGGGCACGCAGAGGGCGACGCACTCGCGCTCACAGCGCAGCCACGCGCTCCCTTGGTATCACTGCCTGCTCCCGTTGCTCATGCCCTCCTCTGTCTTCTCTCCTTCCTCCCTCCTTCACTCCAGGCCTTTGGTTTGGGGAAGGGGCTGCGACTCCACTCATTGATCTGGCGGTGCTGCTGCTCCTCCTGCGGGGGCTGCTTCTCTCTTCAGCATGGGCAAGTTGTGGAGCCCTCTCCATCTCATCTGGCCCCTCCTCATTTACATCGTGTCCTTGTCTGGGGTTACAAATGCCCCCGTTGTTACTAAATGAGCTCTGCCACCTGCTGCTAAGGGAATTGGCATCCACGGGCTGAGGCAGTGGTATGTGCCGAGCCCACCAGGAGTCCAAGTATCCCCAACTAAAATACATATCAAATGCGTCTCTGGGCTGAGGAGATGCAGCGGGTGAGTGCGTTAGCTCTTAAACCCTGGAGCATCTGCCAGGGGTGTCAGGGAAAGCCCTGCAGGGAGCTGGAGGGGACAAGGATCTCCTGTGTGTGAGGGGCTGCGGGATGTCCACAGGGCTGGTGACAGCCCTGCGGGATGTCCACAGGGCTGCCAGCCCCAAATGGGCACCGACGCCATGGGGCGCTGGGGCAGCTTCATGAACTGAGCAGAAAGAGGCTTCATGACTCATAAACCAGACAGGAACAGAGGTCGCATCCTGCTAATGAGCTTATTTGAGGAGCTGGCAGAGGTCAAACTGTTTGCTTCAACCTGGCAGACCTGGGTGGCCTTTGGAAGGTTACCTGCAAACCTTTGGTCCTCATTTTCATCTTTCTCATTTGCTAGTGTTTTCATTCTTTCCAATAACTGCCTGTTGTGCTGGTGGGTGGCAAAATTGGTAGGACAGCTCAGTTCTTTTTTGTTGTTTTTTCTTTTCAGCATTACTAGCTAGGTGGGTGTCTGAGAGCAAGGATGGGAATTGCTTAAATGCTGAGGAGTGCGATCTGCTGCGTGGCACTGAAACAAGCTGTTCTGGGAGCTCGGGTGCCATCACTCTGCATAGAGGTGAAGGCCTATGGAAGGCCCAAGTGAGAGGGCCAAAGGGACCTCCTTATTCAGCTGAACATGTTAATTCGTGCCCGGTTCAGCTCTGCGGGTTGTTCACCTAGCTCGAAGCTGGGAGCCGTGTGTACCCTTGCGCGGCTCTGGAATTTGCTTGCCATGGAGGATGTGTTCACCTGCAAGGCCTGCTAAGCCGTGGGTTTGACTGCAACCTCCCACCGCAGCATTAAGCAGGATCCTAAGCCAGCCCAGTGCCATTCGGGCTTCCTGGGGCTAGCGATGGCCTGTGAGTTTTGAACTCTTCAGCCATGGCACTTCTATTTGCGCCTGCATTTGCGTTTAGGAATAGGTAAGGAATAATTGCAAGCGTTAGAAAGTGGAGTGGAAAATGAAACTTTCCTAAACTCGCCATTCACTCAATTCTGTTGCTGCAGTAAGAGTTGGAAAGTGTCAGCTGGACTCCGGAGGTGGCTTCTTGCAGCAGTCCAGATTGACAGAGCTCTACCGTGTGCCCTGGACTCTGGATCACGCTGCTCTTCACAAGAGTGACGGTGGCTGGAAGGGTGGGGGGTTCACGGGTGCCCCGACACCTCCTAACCGCAGTCCCTTTGCCGGTGTTGCAGCTCCCGAGGTGACGCAGGAGACGGTGGAGTCCCTCATGCAGAAGTTCAAGGAGAGCTTCCGCACCAACACGCCCATCGAGATCGGGCAGCTGCAGCCCGCGCTGCGCAGCCCGGCCCTGGGGAGACGGAAGCGGAAGCGCCGGAGCCGGCCCCGAGGTAAAGCTGCCCCCGCGGTTGTGCGCGACGCGGCCAGGGGAGAGAGGTGGCCAGGGGCTAAGGCAGGAGCTCCTCGTGTCCGGATCGCTCCGCCGAGGACCTCTGTCACCTCGCATAATCGGAGGGGGACTATAGGCCTCCTTGTGTCGGGATGAACAAGGGAAAATCCTGCCTCCTTGGGGAGGTCTGGGCAAGGCGGCCGGGAGCGCTGTCACCTCCTGTCCTCCCCAGGAACTTGTCTGTGGTCCCTGCACCTCTGGCTCTGTTCCAGTATCATGAGAACAAAATGTGATTTCTGTGCAAGGGGAAGGAGTAAATTTTATTTGGGCTGTAACTCACATCTCTGGGGCCTCCCTTCGCTTTGCTGGTGCTTAGTTTGGGTGCTTTTTTTTTATGTTGTGGCCACACAGGAGGTGAGAACAGCAATCTGGGGCTGCAGAGGTTGGACACACACAAGTATCTTGGGGACTGTACGCTTGTATTTGTAGTCCCACTAGCTATTCCCAAATCTCTGGAGCAAGAGGAGGAGGTTGGCTGGAATAGCCCCGTGAGCAGGATTTGGTTCCTGGGTTGCTTCCCAAGAGAAGAATAGCCTCCCACCGCTGCCGCTGAGAAAAAGGGTGGTTTTTGTGAGCTAGGCGGGTTGAGCAGAGTTTGGGTCCAGGTTTTCGGTTGGGCTCTCATTGGAGAGCTGTGCTGGGAGCTGTGCTGGGGTGGCCCTGCAGCCTCCTGCCAGGGCTCTGCGCCGGGCTACCTAGTGCACTGCAGCGTCGGGAAGCCAGGGAGGAAATAGTTTCCTCTCTGTTTACTGTTGGTTTTGTTTTTCATTTATTTATGAGTCTGAAATGTGATCTTTTATTCTGGATACATTTTCCTGCAATACAGGCCTGGAGAGGACTTTTTTATTATAGCTCTGCCCATAAATAATTCACTTAGTGTGAAGAAAATGTTCTGACTCTTTAACTGGTTTAAATTATTTGGTTTGTTTTGAAACAGTTATTCAAATGCACATATCTGGGTTTCA